ACCGCCGCTATAGCGAAGAGACAGACATGTGAGCGCCGAAACCTTTTCAACGAAGGTCGAGCTCCCCAGCATCCGCCGAGGAAAGAACCGGGCTCTTTCTACTATAGGGCTTTAATAATTAACTATACTCTTTGGGGGTTCCTTGTTATAGTTATTAATAATCAACTCTACTCTTTGGGGGGTTCCTTATTGTATATAGTTATAGTATAATGAGCCCCAAAGCCCTATTCTAATCATTAAGGCCCCGATATTTGTGCTTTTGGGGGCTTCCTTGTTTTGGCCCTTAAGGGCTGTAATGACCTTGTGGACCTTTAGGTCGTTTGGCCGTTAGACAAATTCTGGCCTCTAAGTTGGGGGCCTTTAGGGTGTTGAGGGTTCAGGGACGAGGATGAGGATGCAAAGGGCTTGGGGTTTCAGGGTTCAGGGTCACTGATGGGAACCAGAGGGTTTGAGTTCGGGGTTTAGGGTCTCTTAGGGTTCAGTGTAAGACCCACTGTTGAGAGAACGATTGAAGGGTTGGGCGTTGAGGGTTTGGCTAGACTTGTAGACTTGAGTCCGGTAGCTAGTGCAGGTCTTGGACAGAGAGCGCAGGGTCAGCACCGGGTTTTGGGGTTCAGGGTCCCTCAAACCGTCCGAGGAGCCAGCCTTAAGAACACCCACGGCTGGAGCGGGGTACGGGCCGCCGCCTTCCCTGCAGCCGGGACCCCAGCCTTCGAGTTCGGGACTTCGGGGGCTTCATCTTCAGACCATTATGTTAGGGATCCAAAAAGCACATAAGCATAAGCATTTTACCGGGATATCCCTACCTTATTGGGCTTCCTTTTCAGGGGGTTTATATGGGACATCCCTACCCTAATTTTTGCTTATGTGCTTTTTGGGGGCCTTGCTATGGCTGAGCTACACGGCAAGAAGACAAGGGATGAATACTTCGAGGTTGTTTCAAGGTTCAACCCTATGCTCACCACAGAGCTACTTTTTCTCTCAAGGTGATGGTGATTCAGCAGTGTGATTGCCGCCATCGTCAGGCTTCTTTTTCTTCGAGTGGTCATTGTTGTGCCTTTGCCGCCGTTGTCTTTATGCCTGACGGCGGCGGTAGGGTGTTATTGCTATCCTTACTGTCGCGAGTCGTCTGATCGGATTTCGGGCCGGATGTGTCAGCTCGCAGGCCAAAGGCACAGGCCGATCCGAAATGGTAAGAAGCAGCACAGCAGCAAGAAAATAATAACTTAAAGAACTCGAGCAATGCAATGGGGATACCATCAGCAACCAAACCCAAGTTTAACACCACCAGTGGTGATAAGAAGACCACCCCCAGTAGTGATAACAAGACTCACAAAACCATAGCACCAGGCCACAGGTCGTTAATCTCAGTGCTGGTTTCATCTCCAGACCTCGAATAGATGCATACCCTAAACCCTCAACCCTAAACGCTAATGTGTCAACCAAGGGATCTCTCCACCCGGACCCCGAGCCCTCGGCCCAAGTCATCTGGGAGTTTCCGAAAATAGGGGACCCCAATATAATGGCCCAATATAGTATCCTAGATAGGAGGATCCTTATTTTAAGGACCCCAAAGTAAGTGGTAAATTCCCATCTCCCAAAAGTCCCAAGAACTGCTGCCGCCGCTCCTGTGTGCGTGGAACCGCAGAGGCACCCCGCGTCTCAGGGGTTTGGGGTTTCGGGGCTCCGGCCTGGGCTGAGGGAGTCGGAGGCTTAAGATTGGAGAGCCTTAGCTCATTATTAAATTATACCCCTCTATGACATGGTGCAGTTCTCAGGGCGCTTATTAGTCACGCGCTTGCCTAGGTAAGTCTTGTTGGAAGATGGCTGCAGCTACCGCTCCCCTCCAATTAGCGCCTGATCCCTGATGGACAGATCTGGTTTAGGGCGCCCAGGGCGTCTGCAAACCTTTCCGCTGCCCAAAATGAACTCGGATTTGCAAGCCTAAGCCCTGAACCTGAACCAGTGAGAATCCCCGTTTGGCAGTGTATCACACCGACAGTGCACCCAAGAACCTCGCCTGGCTGAGTCCGAGTTGTGAGAGCGTAAAGCCTTTTTGCAACTGGGCTTGGGGCCTAGCCAGATCCTTGCCCTAAACCTAAGGGGAACTCCAGAAAGTTGGAATATGGATTAATGGTAGGATCCCCTATAATTTACCTTAAAGGGGTTACGATAATGATATTCCAACTTTCTGGCTTCTACTGTAAACCCGAAAGCCCAAGCCCGGCGAAGCTCTGAGCAGTCACTTTCCGACGCGGGTCGGCAGCCCAAAGAGGTCCAAACCGGCATTTTCGGAAACTCGTGCACGGTCTCCCATTTAGAAGCTAGCTACGGCGGAGAGAAATATTGCGGCATCATGGAGCGACCTTGGGCAGCTTTTTTGTTGCAGGAGCAAGCCGGCCAAACTGGACGCACAGACCTCGGGTGTCCAGATTGTTCCCACTGAGACATGCGTCAGGGATCCTGCAACAGGTTAGCACCAGGTGCTTAAATGATTGCCTACATGTTTCCTTCGGGTTCGTCATCCTAATTGTCGCATAGCGCTGCAAGCCCGGACTCCTTGTGCTGAAGCCATGAGTCGGGTGCTTTGCAGATCCCGAAGTCCTCTAAGCTCCCTGAAGCCCGCAAAAACCCGAAAATCCTGGCATGTTCGAGAGTGCACTGGGGTCTAGCTAGGTCGCGATGTAGGCTTGGGGGCTCCTCCTGGACTCCGTGGTCTGGATTTCTGCGTGCTTGAAAGGCAACTTTCCGCCGTCCACTAAGGTCTGGGGCGAAGATCTCTGGAGCTGATCCAGACCCAAATCCTGAAAACGCCAGGGGAAGGGGCTGTCAGACAGTCTCAAGCCCGCAGGACCTGCCATCTTAAAGTGCTAAGCCCAAACTCAGAGGAGTTGACATGAAGAGCTTCAAGAAAGCTGACAGCCAGCGGGGGTTTCAGAGGCGAGAAACCTGGCGAATGCCGTGGAATGCGCGCCGACAGAAAACGGGGGGGGAACTGAGCATGGGGAGGGCTTGGCTGCATCTTGACGTGGATGAGGCAGGGTCCCGGTTCGAGAAGACGGGGTGTCTCATGTTTGCCGGGGTGCTTGTGAAGGCTTGCATTGGGGCAGTTTCTTCTGGACTGCCTACTAGCTGCCTACTAGGCCCGAAAATCCTGGCACTGTTGGTTTTAAAAGACGGTGTCAAGCCTCAGAGCACATCATCTGTGAGAAAGAGTCTCCCAGAGGTCAAAGACCTTCTCGTGTTCTTGAACGGTTTAGGATCAGTGTCGACGTCTCTTCCCAAGCTGAGGGTCTTGAGTGCGATCCGCATCACAAGAGGTGTTTGGTATAAGTGCTTCAAGAAATAGAATTGGAGCATGATGACGGCGTGCTCGCCTTCACGGCAGACACCCGGAAGCCATCAGCCATAAATCCTCAACTTTGGAGAACCATGCGGAACCCCTAGCTTGTTGACCTCATGCCTCATGCCGTCATCCTCACTCGGTCCACCAAGCCGTGGGAGTCTGAAAGCTTATATTACTTATATTCTTACTCTGACATGGCCAGTCTCCCTTCGTGTGTGAGTGTGAGTCGAAAAAGCACCGATTCTTGGATCCCATAAACTTTTTGTCCTACGTCCCAGGCGTCCTAAGCCCTGAACCCAGAACACTTAGCCTGAAGCCAACCCTGTGCCCTTGGCTAAGACCTGGTTCAGGATTTTGAGTCTATAGGGTTCGGTTTAGGGCTGCAGCCTGAACCGATCACCCCACAAGCAGATCCTCTACCTGCTTGTTCTGCTGAAGTCTTCGCCGAAACTCCCTGGACCAAGCTAGATGTGGGGTTTCGAGGGGGAGCGAGGATGGGCAAGAGCATGTCGACCAGAGCCATAGCCAAGTGATAGATTTAGACAGCGGGCCTCCTACTGTTGTGCCCTTCAACTGATCACCAACCCGAGCTGAAGGTCAAGGCTCGGAGTGGAGCCCAAGATCAATCCAACAGCTTCGACAACAATGGAAGCACCACCCTACATTGTGCTCTGCAACCTCCTTCGGCCCCCGAGGCCAGGGGACTAGTTCGTGCCGTGCAGAGTATTCAAGACGTTGATACGCAGGTTTCATGATTCTGCTCACCTGAAGACGCTTGGGTTTCCGAGTCCAAAGCTGGCGCTACTCCCGAGACCGAAACCGACAGCACATGATACGAAGCCTACATCCCGGTACCACGCCTGCAAACAAAAACCACTGAGCATCCGAAATCGCCCATGCTCTTCCCCACTTTGAGTGCAGAAGTGCACAAGCCACCGAAGAACACAATCAAAGTAGCTCCACAACTCTAAACAGCTGACCCTAAACCCGTAAACCAAACACACACCTTGGCGCTATCCCGTAAAATTCTACGAAAAACGTAGTATGATGTACCCCAACCCTATTCTAGTCATTACGGCCCCCTCCGGAGAGCCGTCAGAATCACGAATAACCAGCGACTGACCATTTGACAAATTTTAGGAACAGGCCTGTCTTAGTCTTGTCAAAAGTGCAAGGTAGTATCTGCCAGAGGCCCGGTCAACCCTAAGCCTAAAACCGTAAACCTTAAAGCCTAAACCACAAAAATTCCGAAGCCCTGGAATCCTAAATCCCAAACACACATGTGACATCAGAAGCCAAAGCTTCATGACCCAGATGTCATATCCCTCGCAGAGGTCCTAAGCCAACTGGCAACTTGAAAGCTGCGTGCTCCTTCGGAGTGGTTTTGGAGGATCTAGGATGTGTTTGTGCTTCGGTTTCTCTGGAATGTGTGCAGGGTTGCTGCATCAAGTATTGAAACGGGTGTTGCCGGGTTTCTATCGGGTTTGTGCGTGTTTCGGTCATTAGGACACACCCGATACTGTGAATCCGCAAAGCCGTAAAAAGCTTCAGCCCACCCCTTAAGCCAGAGCCCCTCCTTCTGTCCTTCGACTTTGGCTGAAGCTGCCTTCCGCGCAGGACTTTGTCATTTGTGAAGTTGATCCATGTAGGCCCCATGGCTCGCTACGTTTGCATTCTCCATGCTGCCTTTGCCCTGGCCGTGATGCCCTGGGCACAGAGTGCCCGTGTGGATCATGGCGCGGGCCGCGCAGGTCGTGCCGGCCGGAGGCCGCCCTTTGTTTGGAAGAGCACCTCGGCCACGCAGCTCCAGCAAGTTTTGCTGCAGAAGTTGATGGCCGAGGACGTGCCAGAGATGCAGGGCCCGAAGCTCGAAGTTTCATTGAAGGAGTTAGTCGCAAGAGTCCGTGGGGTCTGGGCAGAGGGAGGCACCTCCGGCTGCTTCCAACAGCTCGGGAGCATGATCGCCAACTTGACAGTTGCGTGCCTTGAGCAAAAGCCCCAAGACAAGGAGCTTTTTGTCTTCCGATACTACAAGCCGCCCTTGCCAACGAAGACCTGCAAGGAGAGCGTCGACGACATCTTTGTCCACGGCAGAGCCTTGGCAGCGGCCATGCAAACTTCGAAGGAGGATCTGGCCTCCCTGAACGTGGACAGAAGCACGGTGTCAATGGTCCATTCGCTGTACTTCCTGCAGGCATGGTTGACTCCGCTTGCCTATACGACGAGCAACGCCTTGCTCTGGGCTGGCTTTTGGGATGCAGACCCTAGCAATCGCACCACCTCAGAGACATTGCGCGACTTCGCCACTGCCACAGACCACGCAACAGTCCATCCGGACAGCTGGCTGGGGCAGGTCATTGACAGAAGCAATGACCTTTCGGATTGTTACACCGAGGAGATGAGCCAGCTGATGGCAAACATGTGGACCGTGGTCAGTGTGAGCTTCGTGCTCGGCATGATGGAAAGGGGACAGGGCACCGTCGTCGCGCTTGTGAACAAGGGCATGGAAGGCGAGCGGTTGCTTGAAAAGGCCGTCCTGTACGAGCACGAGATCCCGACGCTGGGACTGGCTGCCTATGGACTGGGGTATTGGTCCCCACAGGTACTCCTCATCGATTTGAAGGGTACCTGCTCACAGACCAGCCCAGCACTCCAGCAGCAGCTTTCCTCTCGCTTGGGCCCTTGGGCGAAGTCCAAGCAAAAGCGGCATTGGCGTCTGGAGGACTTCGTGCAGCGATCGCGACTGCGCTGGCGATGCCTCGACTGTGTCAACCCTGCATGCAATTTGGACAACAGCCTAGCCAAGGAGGTGAAACAGCTGGTACGGAAGAAGCAGCTGAAGGACGAGAATGGCCAGTGGCTCCTGCGGATCTTAAAGAAGAGTAAGAACGGAGTGATGGACGAGGCTTCGCGGCAGGCGTGCATGCGTCCAAACGAAGCCATGAAGGTCTCATGGGGGAGTGTCTTCGAATAGCCATGACCTTCTGGCTAAGGGGTTCTTTAATCAGAGGTCGCTTGTAGAGTCGAGGGTTTAGGGCGGTTTAGGCCGAGTCCTCACCCGAAGCCTGGCAGGCACAGGAGCTCGAAGGAAAGAGCCAGCTGGCGCTGCTGTTGGCAAAGAGCCTTTTTAGAAAGGGTCGCTCCAAAGAAGCTGGCGCAGTGCAGGCGCTATGGGCAGAATGGCAACTGCGATGGCTTGATGTCTTCACCCAGGCCGCCCTCCATCTTCACCCGGGTCAGGGAGCTTTGGTGACTCCCAAAGAGTTGCTCCAAGGGAAGGCCGATGCCAATGCGGCAGATCGCACCGGTCGCACGTGCCTGCACGAGGCCGTCTACAAGACTGACTTCGAAGTATCGGCTCTGCTCCTGGAACACGGAGCAGCGGTCAATGCCCGCACTGAGGTTGGTGACACGCCGCTACACCTAGCCAGTAACGCGGGCGTGGCAGCGCTGCTCCTCGAGCACAAGGCAGAGGTGAATTCCCACGGTGCCTTGGGAATGACGCCGCTCCACCTGGCTGCAAAGGTTGGGGGCAGCTATGGGACGGAGGTGGCGGGGCTACTCCTCGAGCACAAGGCGGATGTTAATGCCCGCATGTCACACGGTCTCACACCGCTCCACAAGGCTGCGATGCTTGGTTTGGTGGAGGTGGTAGCGCTGCTCCTGGAAGAAAATGCAGACGTGAATGCCCGAAGCCAAAACGGCAAGACGCCCCTCGCTGAGGCTGAGATTGGTGGGTCAGTAAGAGACCTGCTGCTGCGGCATGGCGCAACGGAGTGAGACTTCTCGTTCGCAGAGAGCCCCGCCAACTTGAGAAAACAGTCGCTGCTAGTATCGGGCCTTTGCAGATGCATTTCTTGTTTGCCCGATGCGCGAATTAGGTGATCTGAGGGGCAGGGGTGAGGGCATGCCCCAGGGGGATGCCCCAGGGGCGTGCCCCAGGGTGTGTGTGTGTGTGTGTGTGTGTGTGTGATCATCATCGGTTGGCCTTTGTCGTTGCCGGAAGGATCGCATGATGGGCTTATGCTGCGGTACTGGAAAGCAATGACCCGTGACCCTGAACCCTATCCCTAGGTGCCCTGACCCGTACACCGCACACCCGGAAGCCCACCTGAATAGTAACAGCAATCATCATAGTGACAATTTGAAGTGCCAATATGTGATTATAATGATATAAGTAGTATAAAGCCCGGGCTTTCAACCCTTACAGCCGTAAGCAGTACAGACGTTCTATTTTACATGTTTACACCTACCCTCTAAGCCACCCAAAGCCGCAGAAGCTTTGTCAGGGAGCCTTGTAGCCTTCCTTCCTGCCGGTCTATGGCCTCCTCTCCGGAGAGGTGTTTTTGGGGGCTGGGGCCGGAGCATAGGGCTTGGGGTGTGTGGTTTAGTATGAGGCGTAGACCACTCAGAATGTGGGTTTAGGGTTGGGCATTCAGGGGCTAGGGGCGTGTTGGGAAGTGTTGGCATACAAATTTGCAGCTCAGGTTCTTTGCAGCAACCATGCCAATAGAGAACGCTCCTTGAGTTTTTTGGGCTTACGGTGCATGATGTGTAACTGTATTTCTGGTTTCGAGTTTAGGGCCCAGTGTTTGGGCTTCCGGCGGCGTTACGAATGCTCTAGGGCCAGGGTTGTTTTCGTTGTGTAGGTCGTGGCGGCACTCAATTTCACAGAGCTTTCATGTTCGCCAGTGCATCATGCGAAGATATTTGCTGGATGTTGAGTTGTCAAAGTTGACAAGTTGCCCCACACCAACCTTTAAACAGACCGTTCGTGGCACGGCATTTATGAGCAAAGTGATGCTAAAGCCCAACCCGCGACTCTTGCGACAGGAAAAGTTAGAAGCCGAGGCCGGTTTATAGTTAAGAAATCAGAGCACCAGAGCATATGTCCTGAAGTATCTAAGTGTGGTTTCGTCTCCAGACCTCGCCTGGACCGCGAGCCCTCATCTCCCGAACGTCACGCCCGTGCCAAGAACTGCTGCCTCCGCTCCTGTGTAGGCACCCGGGCCAGCGGGGTGTTTCAGAGGCGAGAAACCTGGCGAATGCCGTGGAATGCATGCCCGACAGAAAAGGGGGGGTGGGGGGAACTGAGCATGGGGAGGGCTTGGCTGCATCTTGACGTGGATGAGGCAGGGGTTCCGGTTCGAGAAGAGGGTGTCTCATGTTTGCCGGGGTGCTTGTGAACCAAGCCGCATCTTGAGGTGGAGGGCCTGCATTGGGGGCAGTTTGTTCTGGACTGCCAACTCGGCCGAAAATCATGGTTCTGTTGGTTTTACACTAAGCTGGCTTGCCGGCGTTGTTCTGCTTAGCGGGTCCGTGTAGTTCGGGTGGGCGTAAAAGCGTAAAAGTGTAAAAGGTGAAATTCGTTTTTTGCGTTTTACGTTTTTCGGTGGTGCTCGCCAGTGTTTTGGGCCAGACAAGCTCCGCGTACAAGCGTAAAAGCGTAAAAGTGTAAAACCGTATTTTTGTTTTTCGTTTTTATGCTTTTACCCTGCCCCGCGTTTGTTTTCGCGGCACGTGATTGTCTGAAAGCGTAAAAGCGCAAAAGCGTAAAAGCGTAAACGGCCGGTTCTCAGCGTACAAGCGTAAAAGCGCAAAAGCGTAAAAGCGTAAAAGGCGCGTTCTCTGCGTAAAAGCGTAAAAGCGTAAAACGTAAATTTTGTTTTTTCGCTTTTTCGCTGTTTTCGCTTGAATTCTGCACCAAGGGCCGCTGAAACCGTAGTCTACACCCTGTAGCTCCAAGCCTAAACCCGTCCGGCTTACTATGTGGGCTACGGCGTCGCCAAGAATGCCTGGCCAAGGCCCCAACGAGTTAGCTGATGATGTCTGTAGATTATGGTTTTGTAAAGAAGAAAAACCTGAAGCGGAAGAAGAAAAACAGAGAAAACACATTGGGAAAGGCGAACATTGTCATTACACTTTCCGGATATTCTTTGAAAAAGCTCGAGGAATCGAAGTGTCGAGCATGCATAATTTCATGTCTTGCATGGCATGCATGTAAAGGGATTGTTGCATTTATGGAGATTGGTAAGCTAGCAAGGTAAGATTGCTATGGTTGCATGGCATGCATGCGGTCCTACTGCATGCACGTAAATGCATGCATGCATGATCTCCTGTCTTGCTGTGTTTGCATAGACAAAGATGGCTTGGAAATTTTCATGTCTTGCCTGCATGGTATGCATGCATTTGCATGCAATGCATCATGTCATGCATGCGGTCATGAACGGTTTCTTGTTTTTGTTCTGCATGCATGCAACTTTCAAGATTGCTTTCAGCGGCATTGTATGCAGCACGGCAGCGGACTATGTTTTTTCACCAGCTCGCATTCAGGTCGGAGTGCATACTCAGAAAACTGCATGCATGGTGGATGCTCTGATCATGTATGGGCCCAGCAGACTCCTTTGACCGCCTCCATGCATTGAAAGCTGGAAATCTGCCAAGCAAGCGAATTATTCGGCATGCCCTTCATGCCTTCACTCCCTTCTCAGCCGCTTGGTCGGGCTCTCACTTGAAGCAGGGCCATTGCTGTCGTCGTCATCATTGGTGGCCAAACAATGTCGAAACCACTGCCACCACCAGATCCTGAGATTGCAGCTTGCATGCACTTAGAAGCATGGCATGATGAAACAAACTTCAGCCCAGGATCGTGACCCCTGCGAGATCGCTTCGCATCCAACACCACCTCCACTCAAACCTCCTAGGAAGAGGCGATCTGCTGCGGCCCGGGCTTTCATCGCGAGGAGGCATCGCGATCTACAGGGAGTTGCTTCAAGCAAAATGCTGCAGGCATCATGGAATGCTGAACCCTCCATAAATCAAAGATTGCATGCAAGCATGGGTCAAACAAAAATTCTTTGCATGATCCACAGGGCACGAGTGCCCTTATAGATGTGCCAAGGTGCACTGCTGCATTGAGCTGCACAATATTGCTCTGGTGATGCTTGCCCCCGCCACTTTCCTTCAGCAGCGGTGGGACATGAACATGCTCAAGTTTCGTGAAGAGGCAGGTGACCCCCTGATTTACATCATCGGTGCCGATGACCTGCTTTGCAGTGTCGTGTACAACAAAGCCAATGATGGCACACTGACCCTGTTGCCGCCTGCCTATTTGCGACCTCGCCATGCATGATGAAAATATGCAGCTGTGCTTATGTTTCTTTTGCAAGTGTCATGCTTGCCTTGCATGTGTTCATGCTTGCAGGTTGCATGCATGGTTGTTTCGACTTTAGGCCCATCAACAAGAAATAATGCTTTCTTTGTCCATGCTTACATGCAAGAATCATGCATGTGCATGCTTGCCCTTGCTTGCTTCCGGCATGCATGACTCGTTCAAGCATGCATGAAGCTCATGCTGATCATGCATGCTTGAACATGGGATTGTGCTTGCCAAGATGCATGCATGCTGGCTCATTGCCATGCAGCACCATGTCGCCTTTCTTGATGATAGCACCATGCTTCAGCCTTGTCATGGTGCTTGTCATGCACTCATCCTCCTGCCGCAGGACATTGTACTGCACCAAGCTTTTCTTCAGCTTTGCAGTGCAAGCATGCGGCTGCAGCAAATGTGCCCGCAAATGGAAACCCTCTTCTTTGCCCATGACCGACAAATGCTCTGCAGTCACCTCTTCCAGAAGAGATGTGTCGAAACGAATCGTATTGCTAGAAGCCGACCCATATTTACGGGCGGCTTCCAAGACCCAGCATGCAGGCAGAAATCCTTGTTTCTCGTAGCAACCATCCAAGTGGAGGGTCCAATGAAACTTCGGCCGCATCACTGGACCCCATCCTGCCTGCGCATTTTTTTCCAAGGCTTCCTCGCAAGCAAGGAGCAGTTGTCTGGACCGAAGTGGTGCTTGATTTTGATCGTTCAAGAGTTCGAGCACATGCAACCATGCTAGAAGCGATGCTTTCGCAGGCTGCACTTCTTCTTGCAGGCAGCATGTTGTGAAGTAGTGCTGCAATGGTTTCAACAAACCCAGAACTTCGGATGCAGTACACTTGAGATGACCTGTTTTTCTGTGGCTCTTGATTTTGTCTGCCGAAAACAAACTGCTCAAGGAGCCTTGTTTGTTGGCACCGGGCAACTGCCACAACTCCAAGTAGCCTGCGAAGGATTCCCACACATCGGTTTTGCCATGGTTTCGCCATGACTCGAATGCCCAACATATAACGAAACTGAGAACTCCGTTACTGGAAGACATGCACAAAGCATGTGGCGAAAATGTCCATCCACTTGCTTGTTGAAGCATTGCAAAGCGAGCCTTGCTTTCAGTTCCTGCCTTTGCTGCCAGCCGATCCCAACTCTGCAGCCATTCGCTGTCCGAGGCAAGGTCGCAGGAGGACAGGGTCAGGTGTCTGGAGCTGATCTTCCCCTCGTCGTCATCATCACCTTCACGTCTAACATTGAAAATGTTCTTGCAGAGCATGCAAACACGAGAACCGATGTCGTGGCGGTTTGCAAATGTTTGCTTCTGGGCACTGCCGTCTTGTAAAAAGACGTGGAGGGTCCAATGGAAAACAAACAATGCATCGGTTGATTTCATGACAATGCCATGCACCGGGTTCCAGAGCTGCTGTGCGAACATATCTTCCAAAATGAGTCCCAGGGTCTGGCCGATATCAGCTTCAACTTTTTGTACTAGTTCAGTTCTCAAGACCGCCAATGTAAACCAGTGTCGCTCCTCGGATAAGCCTTGCTGTTGTAAGTTCAACCAAGAAAAATATATGCACCAAATTTTGCGGTCAGTACTGGAAAGTTGATTGCCAGGATGAGCTTCATCAGCATAAAGAACTCCCTTCCATGGGCAGTCCAAGCTTGAGGGGTCTTGCATGTGCATGTGATTGAAACTTCCTGCCTGTATAACCCCTGGAGCATTGTTGGTAGGTTGAGGATATGAAAGTGCAAATCCCCACCATCAATTCGCACAGCTGTGAGCTGCTTGAGTAAAGACCCACAATCCCCAGCCATGGCGGCAATCTTCTCCAGAACCGCTTGCTTGATGTTCTTCCTTCCATGCAGCTCTGGCACTCCTTCCTGTTCCACCTTGTTCAAAATCGCTGCCAATGCCGAGCACGACACGAAGGGAAAGCCTCTACGGAAAGCATCGAGATGGTCCAGCTTCTGCTTCTTGGAAGCTGAGCTGGAGGACTTAGCCATAAAGCATGGCTTGTGATGATCCCTACCCTAAACTCAAAGACTTGGACAGCTGGGCATGTGACAACAACCTTATGCAGTTTTGCAATGCAAGCATGCAAGCAAGTGAGAAGCCAGCCCTAAGCGCTAGGAACAAGCAGCAACAGCCCTTTTTGCCGAAGGCTGGACATGTATAGTGCATGGAATCCCCTTGTGCTACCTTTTTCAGGTAGGTCGGATGCAACCATGCAAGGTCGCATCGAAAGCCCTCGGGCATAGAGCACTCTATGCACCTGTGTGTACCCAAACCCTGGGACCTGGATCAGTGCTTGGCCGCCTTCTTCCGTTCCTCCATGTACTTCTTCCATTCGGCCCGACCGTTGAGTCGCACACCGGCGAACCCATCGAAATTGCAATTGTCGCAGCCACACACATTGCCACGGCATCTTGCACAGCCCCAGCAGGTGAGCCTTCCGTCCTGCTTGGCAGCCTTCTTCTCTTTGTTCATCGGGTGTTTCTCAACACACTTCGCTGCAGGCTTTTTGAAGAGCTGTGGCATCTTCTGATTGCAAGGCTTCCCATTCTTCTTCTCCTGCTTCGGTGCTTTCTTATTCTCCACTTGTGCCAATGCCTCTGCTTCGTACTGTTCCAAGCTTTTGCCTTCGTTTGCCCCTGGCACCGACTGCTTTTCCGGAGACTTGTTTTCCGGAGCATCGGCGGGGCTCTGTGCCGGTACGTGCAGTAGAGGAATTTGCAGGTGTCGGCAGCAACTGGAGCTGCCGGATCACCTCGTCCTTGGAGGGCATGCAACTCGAGGGGCATGACTGCTTGAGTGCAGCTTGTCTGGCTTCCTCCTCGGCAAGCTTTTCTTTCATGGTCTCCAGCCAAGTCTTTTGCTGCATGGCATGCATGGACATGTTGCAAGCAAGCTGATTGGAACCCTGAGAAGTGCCTTTGAGCAGCCGGCTGGTGGTGCGGATTGGGCACGACTTGGACAAGACATGCAGCTGTGGCAGCTCTGCACAGCTGGGGTGAGAACCTATGCAGGCTTTGGCAATCCAATCTGGTCCCAACTCTCGAGGATCGTCTGGATATGTCCGGAAGGCAGGCACATCACTCTGTACGTTCAGGCTGTGAAAAACGTCCTGGAAGTCAGTCGCTAATTTGTAGATTTTGTCTGCATCTGGTTGTTGGGGATTCTGCCAAAGATGGGCTTGCACATGCAAAGTGACACAGGATTTCTTCGTACATTCTTTGCGGCTCGTCAACCCAATCACCCGAAGCCGTCTGGCAATGAGGATCGGGGCGTCCTTGATGTCACCTTGCATAAGCTGCACGATTTCCTCTTTCGTCAAATAAGCCACTGGGTTCTTCAGTGTCTGCGGAACTTTGACGAGCTTGCAGCCACCTTCCGTGCTGCCACCTGAAGCATTCTTCAAAAGAGCATCACTCAATGCCTTTTTTGTATTTTCGTCCAATCCAGACTGTTCCACAGACTGGAGCATGTTCACATACTCCCCTGCCGGCAAACTGTCGGCAGTCACGACCTTCTTTTGCAAGACATTCAAAAGACTCGCCTGGAGCTGTGGATTCGGAGAGAAGCTCAAAAGCTTCTGGACATCCGAAAGCTCCTTGGCAAAGTCCTTGCTGCCCCAAGCAATTGCCATGAGTCCAAGGACCCAGGACCTAAATGATTGGGGCCTGTGCTAGGAGCCTGAGCCCGTAAGCTTGCCACCAAGGGCCAGAACACGAACAATTAGCAAGTTTTAGGCGTCCCAAGTATAACTCAATCAAAACACGCTGCTTATTGAAACCTTTTCAGTACCGCAGTCCTCGAGAAGCTTATGCTCCTTCACCTCACGCCAAACCCTAAACATGAGACCCTCCAGGCCCTGAACCTCCAAGCAAAGCAAGATACCTACGCTAGATGGGTGGCGTTTCTTTTGACGCCGTTCTTGGTTCCTGGTTTTTCACCTTTAGTTTGATTTTTCGCTTAGTCACCATTTTTACACTTTTACTTTTTTCGCTGCTTTTACAGTTTTACCCTTTTCGCTGCGTGGCGCGTTTTTACGATTTTACGGGTTTTCGCTGCTTTTACAGTTTTACTCTTTTCGCTGCGTGGCGCGTTTTTACGATTTTACGGGTTTTCGCTGTTTTTACAGTTTTACTCTTTTCGCTCCGTGGCGCGTTTTTACGATTTTACGTTTTTTCGCTGTTTTGCTGTTTTACTTTTTTGGCGCAGCAAATTGTTTTTACAATTTTACGTTTTTCGTTTTTACCTTCGTCCGTTCCGCGGCGGAAATACATCCGATCCTGCAATTTTTTACATTTTAACAGTTTTACATTTTTCGCCCCTGAAGTTGGGCCATCTGGTTTTTACATTTTTACATTTTTACCGTTTTACTCGCTTCCTCCGGTCGAAAATATACTTTTCGATTTTTCGTTTTTACGTTTTTCGCTGCCGATGTGCGTCCGGACTCCTTAACTGTTTCAACAACACTAAGCCAGCACAGGTTTTACAAGACGGTGTCAAGCCTCAGAACGATCAGAAGACCTTCTCGTGTTCTTCAACGGTTTAGGATTAGTGTCGACATCCCAGATCAGATTCCCAAGCTGAGGGTCTTGAGTGCGATCAGCATCACAAGCGGTGTTTCATATAGGTGCTTCAAGGAATAGAATTGGGGTATGACGACGATGGAGTATTCGCCTTGAGGGAGGACACCCGGAAGCCATCGGAGAATCCTGCGAAACCCCCAGCTTGTTGACCTCATGCCTCATGCCATAAACCCTGACCTGCAGCCTTCAGTGGGATTTGAAGTCTGCCGTCATCCGTGTGAGTCTGAGAGCTTATATTCTTACTCTGACATGGCCAGTCTCCCTTCGTGTGTGAGTGTGAGTCGAAAAAGCACCGATTCCTGGATCCCATAAACTTTTTGTCCTACGTCCCAGGCGTCCTAAGCCCTGAACCCCGAACACTTAGCCTGAAGCCAACCCTGTGCCCTTGGCTAAGACCTGGTTCAAGATTTTGAGTCTATAGGGTTCGGTTTAGGGCTGCAGCCTGAACCGATCACCCCACAAGCAGATCCTCTACCTGCTTGTTCTGCTGAAGTCTTCGCCGAAACTCCCTGGACCAAGCTAGATGCGGGGTTTCGAGGGGGAGCTAAGATGGGCAGGAGCATCTCGACCAGAGCCACAGCCAGGGGATAGATTTAGACAGCGGGCCTCTTACTGTTGTGCCCCACAACTGAACACCAACCCGAGCTGCAGCTTCGGCAACAATGGAAGCACTATCTATCTATTTATCTATCTATCTATGTGTTTATCATATATCACAAATCATATAGCATATACCATATCATATGTGTATGTGTATATGTATATGTATATGTATATGTATATGTATATGTATATGTATATGTATATGTGTATGTGTATGTGTATGTGTATGTGTATCTCTCTGCCACCTCCTTCCTACGGCTGCGGTGAGCTAGTCGCCAGCCAGGCCCGAGGCAGGGGAGTAGGTCACGAATTGTGCCTTGCATCGTATTCAAGACGGTGATACGAAGGTTTAGGGTTTAGGGTTGCAGGATTCACACAAGCCTGTGCCAAAAAGGTTAAGGGTTTGAGGGTTTAGGGTTTCAGCTCACCTGAAGACGCTTGGGTTTCCGATGAATTCAACATCTACGGCGCAAGGCCAGCAGCTTCGTTGTGTGGGGACTCCCGACTCGAACCCGCGCCAAACCTCTCCTTCGGTTACAGCTGCCCTGCCCCTGTATTTCTCACAGGCCAATGTCAAAACCCACACTCCTGATGCCTCTCTTTCCGCCTATTCCAACCGAGCACTGCATAGTTTAACGTGGACCCTCTACAACTCAACGTCTTCAACTACAAATCCTAAACCGGGTTTTGGGCTGAGACCTTTAGGGTCCCTGCCAGATCATCCGAGCTCCGCCGCACCTACAGCATCCCCAATTCGCGCTCTAGGGTTCAGGGTAAAAGGTTTAGGGTTCAGGGTATACAGGGTCGTGAGAGCCCGGATGTAAGAGGGTATACGAGGTTTAGGGTTCCGGGTGTGGGGTGCAGCAGCGGCTTCGAAACGGGAAGCGGAAGCCCTCAAAGCACGGACGCGTAAATCCTGACCCGAAGGGGCAGCCCCATGAGCACTCAGACGCTGGGCTCCGCTCTTGGCAGCCGTGCGTTAAGGGCTCGTAAAGTCCAGCATTTGCGGGTTTTCATGCTTAGTTAAGTTCCTTTGGTGGGTTTGGAGGTTTAGGGGGGTGCAAGCCTGGTATCACCATGTACCTGCAGAGCCGAGCATGGCTGTAGAGCCCTGGTTCAAAACATTGGGCTCAGGGTTCTCTCTTCTTTTGGTCAGGGACTCCAGACCTTTGGCATGGTTTTGACGTGAATGCTTTCAGGGACCACAGTAAGGGTTCAGAGTTTTGGGGATGCGGGTTGCCACAAGCAGCACACCAGTGCACCCGCATGCCCGGCTGAAGTCCACTGGTGCGAAAGCTGTAGGACTCTGCGTGCAGTTTCGACCCCTCGCTGGAAACCTGCAGTCGAAAACCAGAGCTCCAAAAGCTTAAGCTGCTCTGACTTGACTGCCCATGCTGTTGGTAAGGCCCATTGCCGCCACCGGCCAATGCCTGCAAGCTTGGCATTGGTGTGGTTTCCGTGGAAAGTTGTGTCCAAAGGTGACCCTACTCCCAAAACCCAAGCCCATGGCTCATGATATGAAGCTTCCAGAAAGGACAACACTAAAGCATCCGCAATCACCCAGGCCCTCTCCCTCTCTGAGCGTGTAAAGAACCCGAAACCGCTGGCCCCAAACTCCTACCTAGACCTAAACCCAGAGACTCCAATATCCCTTAATTAAGGAATGTACCTTAAATTATAGTAGGATCCCTTATATGATTTAAGGTACATTCCTGAATTCAGGGATATTGGAGTCTCTGGGAACTCTACATGCGCAGAGACGGACAGAGACAGACAGAGAGTGGCCCCCGAAATCTCCTTCTGCGCCCCCAGGGTCTCCCCAGCTCAAGGTCAAAGGTAGGAACTTGATTAAGAGACCTTGGGCCTTTACTAGGGTTGCTTATATGAATCCGACTATTTTGGGAGTATAGGCCCAGGGTGTCTTAATCAGGTTCCTACATTAGAGTCTAGGGTTTAGAGGGGTGTAATGATGGGTTCAGGGAGCTCGAAGCTGTAAATCGGGCAAGATTTGGTGGGCAGCCGACCTTTGAAGGCTGGCGGGATGCATTTTGCCCTCACAGCCTGATATAGTGGCCTGAGGAATAGACATGCTATCCCGTAATGGTCCCTACTATAGATGTAGTGTGAAGTACCCCAGCCCTATTCGAATTGTTAAGGCTCCTTCGTTTAGACTTGCACTCCTCCGGAGAGCCGGCAGAATCACGAATAACCAGCGACTGACTGTTTGACAAAATTTGAGAACATGTCTATCCTGTCAAAAGGGCAAGATACTGACTGGCAGACGCCCGAGCCCTCAACACTAATTCCGTAAGTCCCAAAGCCTAAGACCTTGACAAATCTCAACCACAGAATGGCCCAAGCCCTAAAATCCCACATCCCCAACACACATGTGACATCAGAAGCCTAAGCTTTCATGTCCCAGATGTCATATAGGGGGTTTCCGAAAAATAGGGGACCCTAATCTAGTACCCCAGAATAGTAGGATCCTGCTTAGAAGGACCCCCCCAAAAGAAATACTTTTTAATTTTTGGTTATCATAATCCCTAAGAAACAGCTAAAACTATAGTTTTTGCTAGGGTTCTAAGTTCAGTATAGTAACCCCGGCAAAGGCCCTGAGCCAAACTTCTGGCAACCTAAAGGCCGATGGTAGGCCAGGAGCCCGGCACCTGTTCCTTCGGAGTGCTTTTCCATGCTTAATACGGGTAGTTGGGTGCCCGAAATAAGTGCCGTATTATAATAGGGACCCAAAAAGGTACCATAATTTCGACAACCACCCATATGAGTTTAGGGGTTTAGGGTGTTTATGGCCCACCATCATCTTGACCATAAGCCTGGCTAGACTTGATTCTAGTTGCAAAAAAGGGTTTTTCATTTCGTATCTTAGGATTTGGCATGTGGGGCTGCGCTTCGATTTCTCTTTGTGCAGGGTTGCTGCATCAAGTATGGAAGCGGGTGTTGCCGGGTTTCCAGCGGGTCTGCAAGTGTTCCTGTCAGTTGGGCACACCCGATACCTTGAACCCACAAGCCTACCACAAGCTACCCACGGTCAGCCCCAAGCTTCCGCGCAGGGCTTTGTCATTTGTGAAGTTGATCCATGTAGGCCCCATGGCTCGCTACGTTTGCATTCTCCATGCTGCCTTTGCCCTGGCCGTGATGCCCTGGGCACAGGGTGCCCGAGTGGATTATGGCGCAGGCCATGCAGGTCGGAGGCCGCCCTTTGTTTGGAAGAGCACCTCGGCCACGCAGCTCCAGCAAATTTTGCTGCAGAAGTTGATGGCCGAGGAGGTGCCAGAGATGCAGGGCCCGAAGCTCGAAGTTTCATTGAAGGAGTTAGTCGCAAGAGTCCGTGGGGTCTGGGCAGAGGGAGGCACCTTCGGCTGCTTCCAACAGCTGGGGAGCATGATCGCCAACTTGACAGCTGCTTGCCTTGAGCAAAAGCCCCAAGACAAGGAGCTTTTCGTCTTCCGATACTACAAGCCGCCCTTGCCAAAGAAGACCTGCAAGGAGAGCGTGGACGACATCTTTGTCCATGGCAGAGCCTTGGCAGCGGCCATGCAAACTTCGAAGGAGGATCTGGCCTCCCTGAACGTGGACAGAAGCAAGGTGTCAATGGTCCATTCGCTGTACTTCCTGCAGGCATGGTTGACTCCGCTTGCCTATACGACGAGCAACGCCTTGCTCTGGGCCGGCTTTTGGGATGCAGACCCTAGCAATCGCACCACCTCAGAGACATTGCGCGACTTCGCCACTGCCACCGACCACGCAACGGTCCATCCGGACAGCTGGCTGGGGCAGGTCATTGACAGAAGCAATGACCTTTCGGATTGTTACACCGAGGAGATGAGCCAGCTGATGGCAAACATGTGGACCATGGTCAGCGTCAGCTTCGTGCTCGGCATGATGGAAAGGGGACAGGGCACCGTCGTCGCGCTGGTGAACAAGGGCATGCAGGGCGAGCGGCAGCTTGAAAAGGCCGTCCTGTACGAGCACGAGATCCCGACGCTGGGACTGGCTACCTATGGACTGGGGTATTGGTCCCCACAGTTACTCCTCATCGATTTGCAGGGTACCTGCTCACAGACCAGCCCAGCACTCCAGCAGCAGCTTTCCTCTCGCTTGGGCCCTTGGGCGAAGTCCAAGCAAAAGCAGGACTGGCGTTTGGAGGACTTCGTGCAGCGATCGCGACTGCGCTGGCGATGCCTCGACTGTGTCAACCCTGCCTGCAATTTGGACAACAGCCTAGCCAAGGAGGTGAAACAGCTGGTACGGAAGAAGCAGCTGAAGGACGAGAATGGCCAGTGGCTCCTGCGGATCTTAAAGAAGAGTAAGAACGGAGTGATGGACGAGGCTTCGCGGCAGGCGTGCATGCGTCCAAACGAAGCCATGAAGGTCTCATGGGGGAGTGTCTTCGAATAGCCATGACCTTCTGGCTAAGGGGTTCTTTGATCAGAGGTCGCTTGTGGAGTCGAGGGTTTAGGGCGGTTTAAGGCCGAGTCCTCACCCGAAGCCTGGCAGGCACAGGAGCTCGAAGAGAAGATCCAGCTGGGGCTGCTGTTGAGCGTGAGCCTAAACGGAAAGGGTCGTTACAAAGAAGCTGACGCAGTGCAGGCTCTATGGGAAGAATGGAACTTCCGATGGCTTGATCTCTACACCCAGGCCGCCCTCCATCTCCACCCCTTGGTGACTCCCAAGGAGTTGCTCCAAGCGAAGGCCGATGCCAATGCGGCAGATCGCACCGGTCGCACGTGCCTGCACGAGGCCGTCTACTACAAGCATGACTTCGAAGTATCGGCCCTACTCCTCGAACACGGCGCAGCGGTCAATGCCCGCACTGAGGCAGGTGAGACGCCGCTACACCTAGCCACATACCACCCGGGCGTGGTGGCGCTGCTCCTGGAGCACAAGGCAGAGGTGAATTCCCGTGGTGCCTTTGGAATGACGCCGCTCCACAAGGTTGCACAGATTGCGGGCAGCTATGGGACGGAGGTGGCGGAGCTACTCCTCGAGCACAAGGCGGATGTTAATGCCCGCATGTCGTTCGGTCTCACACCGCTCCACAAGGCTGCCATTTATGGTTCGGCGGAGGTGGCAGCACTGCTCCTGGACCACCATGCAGAGGTGAATGCCCGAAGTCAAGATGGCAAGACGCCCCTCGCTGAGGCTGCTGAGAGTGGTGAGTCAGTACGAGACCTGCTGCTGCGGCATGGCGCGACGGAGTGAGACTTCTCGTTCGCAGAGAGCCCCGGCAACTTGAGAAAACAGTCGCCGCTGGTATCGGGCCTTTGCAGATGCATTTCTTGTTTGCCCGATGCGCGAATTAGGTGATCTGAGGGGCAGGGGTGAGGGCCAGGGTGGGTGTGTGTGTGTGTGTGTCTGTGTGATCATCATCGCTTGGCCTTTGTCGTTGCCGGAAGGATCACATGATGGGCTTATGCTGCAGTACCCCAAACCAAAGACCCGTGACCCTGAACCCTATCCCTAAGTGCCCTGACCCGTACACCGCACACCCGGAAGCCTACCCGAGCAGTAACAGCAATCATCATAGTGATAATATGACATACAAGTACATCATCTATAATGGACAAGGAATGTAGAACCTGAGTTTTCAACCCTTACAGCAGGGCTTTGAAAGCGCCTGGTCATGCGGAAGGGAGCTTTGCTAAACTCTCGCAGCCGTAAGCAGTCCAGACGTTCTTTTACATGTTTACACCTACCTTCTAAGCCGCTAAGCCCCTAAACCTTGCCAGGCTTTGTCCGAGTGTGAGTGTCAAAAAGCCCCTAAACCCTAATTCCTAAACCCTAGATCCTAAGCCTCGCTTGCTTTCTGACTGATTGCCTGGAGGAAAGGGGCTGTTCAAAGTAATAACCGATAACCAAAGCCAGGGAGCCTTGTAGCCTTCCTTCCTGCCAGGTCCATGTCCTCTTCTCCGGAGAGGTGTTTGGGGCTTTGGGGCCAGGGCTAGAGCATAGGGCTTGGGGTGTGGGGTTTAGTATGAGGCGTAGACCACTCAGAATGTGGGTTTAGGGTTGGGTATTCAGGGGCTCAGCGTGGGAAGTCTTGGCATACGAATTTGCACGGTGCATGATGTGTAACTGTATTTCTGGTTTCGAGTTCAGGGCTCAGTGTTTAGGGTTCCAGCGGCGTTACGAATGCTTCAGGGCCAGGGTTGTTCACAGAGCTTTGATCTCTGCCAGCACATCATGCGAACATATTTGCTGGAACCGTCTCATGTTCAGTTGGCAAAGGGCCCAAAGGGCCGCCCCAACACCTTCGCCATGCGGTTATGAGCAAAGTCATGCTGAGCGCAACTCACGCGACTCTTGCGACAGGAAAAGTTGGAAGCCGAGGCCGCTTGGTATTTTTCTTACAGTAGGGTCTCTCTTTCTTCTGACTAAACCTTTGCATACCCCAAAAACAGCCTTTCTACTGAGACCTTATAACAAGCTTCTACAAGACTGCCCCTCTATTATCGCTTTGGCATTTTGGTGGTGGACTTCGGTGGTTCAGGTCCTAAACTGTCACCGGCTCGTCGTGGTTACTTGCCTGGTCGCATGTGGGGAAGTACAAGATTTCCAGGCTATGGATGGTTTGAGGTGGATCCCTTCGAGTTTTTTGGGTAAGGCATGGAAGTGCTCCCTAAACCCTAAACCGTAAACCCTAAACCCTAAACCCTAAACCTGAACAGACCTTTAGGCGCTTGGAGTGATGCGAAAGGTTTAGGTCCATGGATCTCTGTGGAGAGACCTTGGAGGCCCCAACTTCCACTTAGAAGCCTCAAGAACCACTGATACTGTTGATGACATAAATCCTGCATGACCCATAATAAGGAATATACCATAATTCTTAAGGGTAATGCAGGATTTATGTCATCAGAAGTACCATTCCGTCGGCGTCCTAAGTTATACTTAGATTTTACAGTTCTGCTACTGTAATGTAGAAAAAAATCTGCAGCTGCCACGTGCACGCCACTCACAGGGTCGCCGTTTCCAAGCGACCCGTTGTGTGAATATGCAACAGCCGCTGTGGCCGTAGAAAGTTGTAGTGCTCTGTTGCGGAGGAATCAGAACTGCCTTCCTTCGCGCTGCTTGTCGCGTCATGAAGCAGTCGAGGAGTGTCACTGAGACTGCGCCAATCCAAACCCTGTGCCACCGAAGATTTCGAAGTGATTGTCATTGATGGTTCAAATTTGCCAGGGGCGCCAAAGACATCATGCGCTTCACGACGCAGTGCCCTTCTCTGTAAAGCTTGGGGTTCTTCGGGGGCCGGAGTTTGGGCTTAAGGCTCAAGGGTTTAGGGTTCGGCGAAAAGTCGAAAGCTCGCACACCGGGTAGCACCCGCAGGGGAGCGTGCTGGAATCTGCTCGGTGCGGCTGTTTAACGCCAACAAGCTGCAATTTCTGTGATTCTGTGTTGGGGCTTGTCCTGAGGCCTCCGGCCAACGAAATGTGAGAGTTCCTTTCCAGAGGGTTAGGGTGGTGAGCCCCAGTCGGGTTTTCACCATCCAGCGGGCCTTGTTCGAAGCTCACGGATTTGTGGGCTTTGTGGGTGCTGTTGGGTGCAGTGGAAGGTTTCGGGTGTTGCTTTTCTCCGCTGGCCAGGTATCAGTGGCATGCCAAGAAGCAGGTGCTGGGTTTCAGACCCTAAATCCAAAACTCCCCGCTTGTATTTAAGCCCCTACTGCTATGCCCCCTGACGCCCACACCCCGCAAGCCTTAAAAATTCCGAAACCCTTCAAACCGAAATCCAGGACTCTACACCCCACCCCTCAACCACCCCTAAACCCTGCGCCCGTCCCAATTAGTGTATCGATTGCTATTGGGTTTGTCAGCCATGGGCCCATGCTCAAGGCTTTGAAAGAAGGGCCAGACCACAGAATGATACAGTCTATAACGATGCAAACTAGCACAGTCCCACTGAAACAGGGAAAATGGATAAAGACATATACATGCTCATATATGTGTATGTATGTATGTATGTATGTATGTGCATGCATACATGCATGCATGCATGTATATACAGATCTGTACATACATACATACATACATAGAGACATACATACACACACACACACCCATGCCTTTTTATGTATGTGTGTGTATATGTGTCCATGTAAGTAAGTTGATAACATGTGAGAAATGGAGCCAAAATACAGGACGCTGCAACCTCGAATTCCGAAACCCAGGCGTAGAAGCCATCATGCCGGCGCCAGTACGACATGGCCCTGAACTCTAAACCGACAGCTAAAAGTCACAAGGGCTCAAAAGCAAAACGAGGCTCGCGATGCGTGAGCAAAGCTTCTCTACTTGTCGCTCTGTGGTAAGTCGTCGGAGACCATGAAAAACAGCCCGCCCTAGTCCCAAAACCTTACGCCGTGAGCCACGAAGCTTCTTGTAAAACCCAGTATCACCAACCCCTGGACGGAAGTGATGATCGCTCAGGTATTTGGGTGTGGTTCGACAGCCCCAAGTACAAACAAACCGATGTTCCCTGCACCTCCAAACCCTGGCAGCACGACGGCAACGCCAGGAGCGCGAGCGGCGCCTAGCTTTCAAGACACAGGCGCAGCGCTCTCTGGGCAAGCTGCCGGGTGCCTCAGTGGAGTATATAGAAGTTATGCCATATTTTTACTGCATGATACTATATCATACTAGATCCGTGGATGCTTGTCTATCGTAGAGTTACAGGGCTTTGGGGTTCAGGGGACGGGCAGCGTTATGTCGTTGCATCCATGTATCCAGCCATATGCCTGAATGTCTTGTTCATTGTCCTTGTTCAGGTCTGCTCGTCCTTTGTCCATGTCTGTTTGTCCTTATGTTCATATCTGGTTCTTGTTTTTATGCCTTGACAAGAATCCCGAATCCAGCAGCATTGCGACTGCATGTTTGCACACGCATATCTACTTGCACATGCGCACTCATTTTAACATATACCCATGCAGTGTGCAAGCACAAGCCAATTAAACACTACTTCCCAAGAAAAACCATGCACATGTGTCTCTGCGCTTGGTATCCCTGCTACAGAAGAGTCGGCAAGTTCGCAGCCAGGCCATGCAGCCAACGTTGTCTGTGGATTGGTTAACGAGAGTCTTCGTGCTTTCCCTTCTTTGACTTAGGGGTTCACATGCGCAGGATTTCAAGAACAGATTTGCCAGTCTTCCCTTGTACTTCCTGATCGATTCGGGCTGGGAGAATTACGGCACAGAATATGGCGCAGCCTCATCTTGTGCGGCCTCGACGACACTTTACCAAAAACCAGTGTCCGTCTGCCCCGCAGGTTGTGAGTGCGTAGCACGTCGAGAGTCACAGGCAAAAAACGGTGCAGGTGGCAAGGTTTTCGAGATTGCAGATCATCCAGGGGGCATACCAACGTCGTAATTCTGCTGCGGTGCAGAACCCTGCAACTACAAGCAAGAACCTGTGGACAGCGTGCCGGTACAGCCAATAGCCAATGTTTTCCGAAATTCTTTGAGAAACGGAGCCACTAAACCCTTAAACCGTCAGCGTTGTGCGAGTGTGCGAGTCGAAACCGTCAGGCCTTCGAAAGATTCGACGGGCGCCCACACAGGCACAGGGAACTTGCTGTTGCCAAAGGCCATAAGCCCTGACTTCTTCAATGCGCCTCCATGCAAAGCCAAGAGCATTGAAAGAGGCATGAATAGCCGCTGCAATCTCGGATCTTTAGGATTTAGAGGTTTGCGTACATCGCCTGCCAATAGCCTACACTGAGCCAAGCGAACGTACAGTCCTGGAGCTTGGGCACGCTGATCTGCGCTGGCAAACGTAACTCTGCGAGAGTTTGGGGTTTGGGGATTGAGGGCGTTGCAAAACCGAATGTCGAATGTGAGCCTAAACGTGGATGCAAGAAGGTCTGTTTTGGTTTTAGGGCTTCGGCCTGTATGTAGTCCTCCGGTTGATGATATAAATCCTGCATTACCCATAATAAGGAATATATGGGAATGATGGTAAATTCCTTAATATGGGTCATGCAGGATTTATATCATCAACCGTCCCGCAGGATTGATCTCCGAAGCCTTGTCGCTGCCTCAGACTCTCGGAAGGTTCTCTCGATAAGAACCACCACTGGGTCTGCGAAAGAGCATGCTAGAGTTATAATAAGGAACTCCCAAAATACTAGTTTAGTTATCATAAGGAGCTCCCAAAATAAAATTGTACTATAGTTCTATCTCTTACCACAGCGACCCAAACAGGCACACTCAGGTAGAGAACATGCCACGTGTAAGACTTGGGACGTGGAAAGAAGCTTGAGCTGTCTTGGGGCATGAGCAGCAACATGCATCTGCGAAGCTCGACTCAACTCTAAATCCCTAAGTTCGAACCTGTATGTTATACCCCATATATGTATATATATATATATATGTATATGTATATCTGTTACGACGAACTATATGTACTTGGAACATACTGTAACATGGTGGCAGACCACCAAGAAGCGAGTATCCGCAGAGTCCGGTCGCCTTTACACTCCACATGTTGGAAGGCTGTTGCACTGAAAGTAGGGTCATAGACGGTAAGGGACTAAACTAAAGCAGCGCCATCTGCGGCCTTTTCTTGCCTTACCAGTCTCCATCCAATGCTCAACACCTGAAGTCATGACACATGAGACAGGTATGACCCTGCGTCAAGAACTCGTTTTCTGTGCCCGTGCCCCAGAAAGGCTGAGCTGCCAGAGGAGTTGATCCGAATGTAGTCAATGTAGTCTGCGAGAGTGCAGTCCTTGCAGTCCGTTTCAGGGAGAACTTGGACTGAAGGGGACTTGGCGCTGAAAGCTAGACCTTGACACCTCCACACCCGAAGCCCGACCGTGACTTTGCACTCTTTTGTCGTGGTTCCAAAGGCAAGCCCTAGTGGGCATCGATGCTTGCAATGCAAGAGGGGAAGAAAGCCCCCCCCCCCCCCCCCCGACACACGAAACCCACCTTATGGGTTTGGAGAAGATCCGACAACCCTAAGCAGCCCACCGATTGCCTCCAATCTTAGATCACCTACCTCAGTGCAGCTTGTGTTTGACCGTCCACACCAACACCGTGAGTGCTGGAAGCCCTAAGGCCTGAATCATACACCTCCCCGCTATGCCCAAAGGGCCCCGAAACCCAGCTTGAAACTTCGCAGTCTCAGAGTCTCAGCACTATAAGTCCTATGGGACTCCAACCCCCGCCTTGCTTTCCCCTAAGGGTCCGAGTACCTAATGATCATATACTCTCCGAAATCCTAACCTACATAACTACTATCCCAAAACCGAGTAGGAGGGAAAAAAGTGGAAAGCCAAATTGTGAAGATGTGAATCCTCAGGTCCTGGCAGCTTCGAAGAGGACTTCGGAAATTTGATGGCCATGATGTTCGACGAGAGAAGCACTTGGGTTCAGGGTTCAGGGTTCTGGACTTGGCGTTTAAGGAACGCACTCTCAGAATGTTCAATTCCGACGTCCTGACGCTTTCCTGACGTCTCCTCTCCCCCTCATGTTGCGCATTTCTTGCCGCGGTCTTCTCGTGTTCCGTACGATGCTGTCCCCTGTGTCGGAATTCCTTTACCCGCTTCTGGGGCCAACCTGCGCAGTTCTTTCCGGGATGGCACGCGGGCATAGAGTGGTAGCTTTCATGACTGCTCGGCAGGGCTGGGCTGGTCATGAGGACGTGGCCTCAATCACTGTAGCGGTGGTGCTGGTGGCTCTTGTGGATGTGCTCGTAGTTGAGATCATGGTGACGGTAGAACCGTAGCCTCGGTCTTAGTAGTAATGCAGGCGAAGGGGTCGTGGCTGTGGTGGTGGTTATTGTGGTTGTGCCTCGGAGGCATTTCAGGGCTTCCAAATAGCCCAGCGCAAGAAGACTGTACACGTCGATTTAGATCCACTGTGTCACGCGTTTATTGAGCATCCGTGCTCGGAAAGACAGCAGCGGCAGCGTAACCCTATTCAGTAGCTATAGCGGAACTCCTAATGCTTGCTGGGAAATCTTTGACCAGGGGTCATCAAAAGGGCTCAACTCGGCCCACACGCCGCCATCCTAATGTAGAGCTTGAAATAACTACCAATGCTATTTTGGGGGTTCGTCATGATAAGTATAGCATAATGGGCCCCAAACACACGTTCTACTGATTAAGGCACCTATGCTATTGTAGTACCCTTATAGATCCCTTGTAGCAGCCCTTATAGACCCTTTTAAAAAGGAACCCTATTCTAATGACTAAAGCCCTATATGACTTCCCAGAGCTTCGGTCGTCTCTGCGCGTCGTATCTTCCTATAGTCTCCATTGTAGTTCCTTTTTTTGGTTAACCAGTTTTATGGTTAGGACCCTATAATAGAGATTCTGGTAAACCAAACAAAGGAACTACAATGGAGACTATAGGTTGTGCCAAAGAGGATCCCGAGCTGCAGCCCATGGTGGCGCGGATCAACGACCTGAAGCGGATGCTGGGAGTAACGGAGGGATACGGCTGGAGCCTAAGCGGATGGCTGGTAAGGTCGTGCGACCAGTGCTTGCGAGACCTTGCCTCAATCCAATCCTTAGTGTAGTGAACTGAGCCCCGAGCCAGGTCATGCAGAAACAACCACGAAATCTACATCCACAAACAAGGCCCCAGACCCGCCCTAGCTCAAACACGGTCCGACACTATTCATTCAAGAATGATGCGACGCCGGCTCCAGGCGTTCTGACCAAAAGCTTCTGCTTCAGGCAGCCGACCGGAGTGGGAAGTATCCAGGACCAGTCCGCCAGAGGCAGGAGGGGGTTTGAACATGAGATGCTGGCGAGGTGGGACGCGGATGTTCAGGGTTCCTCTGGAGTCAGACTTGTGCCTGGTTCCGTGCCTGTGCGAGTGTGCGTGTCGAAACCCCAAATCCTAAAGCCCAAGGGCGTAAAGCCCAAGGGGTAGATGTCCTGTGCCTTCGAGTCCCGTAACTCTTGCCAAAAGACATCGCCTGTCATTGCCAAGTGTGGGCGTAAAAAAGCCATCTGTCCTGGTTCTTCGTAGGGAATGGGGGAATGGATCCCTGTAGTAGCCCCTATATACTCCGCAAGAGCAGTCTCCCCCATTCCCCTACTATATATATATAATACAAAGATAAATATATGTATATATATATATATATATATACACACACACACACACATATATATATATATATATATGTATATATATATATATATATATATATATATATATATATATATATATATATATATATTATGTGTATATATATATATATATGTATATCCATAAATATATATATATATATATATATAAGAGCCCCCATCCCAGCGCCGAAGCGCAGTTCAATCCGTCACCAAGCAGAATGCGCATGGCGTTTGAGAAAAAAATATATAAGAGCCAGACAGAAAAGAAACGCCCAGAATCAGAAGGTGCAGAACTGGATCTCCCAGACTTTGGCCTCCTTGCCGAAGCCCCCGGAACCCGCCCGGTGGCCCCAGAGAGGGCCCGGAGTTCCTCTTCGCAGTTCATCGGTTGATGATATAAATCCTGCATTACCCCATAATCAGGAATAAGGAATATATGGGAGTTGTGGTATATATTCCTTATTATGGGTCATGCAGGAGTTATATCATCAACAGTTTCAGGGATCTCGAAACGTCTTCCAAGGATCCTCGAAGAAGGGTTCTCCAGGGGTTCTTTAAGAATTCTCTAGGGGCTCTATTCCGGGATATTGGTGCGCAGCTCTGTTGAAATTTCGTGTCTTGGGATGAACGCACAAAATGCACGTCGCCTTGCCCCTTGTCTCCTTGTAGTACACTGCAGCAGCCTGTAGCTTTCCCATGCAGGCATGGTTCCACAGCTTAGTTATGCTCGAATACAGTATAATACATAGTACAGTAGACACTATAATCTATACGATTATATATAGCACACTATCTATCATAATATGTGCTACTATATATCACATATATACATGAAGGTCATCTTGATAGCAACTTGCAGATGGGAGTTTCCGAAAATAGGGGACCCTAATGTAGTACCCTAAATGGTAGGATCCTTCCTATAAGGACCCAAAAATAAGGTACCCAAAATTGTCGGAAACTCCCAGATCCTTGTGAGATCTGCGGAACCGTTTCTGTTCGGCTCAAGCTTATTGATACCCTGGCGGCAGCATGGCGGCCGTCGACCGCTTCGTGAATCCGATTCCAAACCCTGCACGCTACCAGAAGTACAATGGCGTCAACTTGGAGACTCTGTGCATGGCCGCATACCAAGGGGACCTGGACCAGCTAGAAGTGCTCCTGCGCAAGGCCCGGCTTCTATTGTACCGTCTTGCAACATACTGTAGAATTTTGAAGCGTACTTTTTATATACTACAGCGTACTGCCGTAGGCTATAGTCAGTTTAAAGTAGATGATCGTATACAGTATGTGTGCTTTGCATTTCATTCATCCCACAGCGCAATGCGGAAAGGGGGACGAAGACCACATCTTCAATGGTGACGTGAACATGCACTACACGGATGTCAACGCGCTCCACATGGCGGCCATGGCCGGCCATGCCAAGTGCGTGAAGCCTCTTGGGCATGATCTGGGGCCCCAGAAAAGCACATAAGCAAAAATACGAAGGATCCATTAACGTTCCTTTAAAAGGGCTCCTATAAGGGATTATATAGGGTTTAGGGTTCAGGGTTTGGGAGTTTCCGAAAATTAGGGGTACCTTATTTGGGGGGCCCTATAATAAGGATGCTACTATGTAGGGTACTATCTTAGGCCCCCCCTATTTTCGGAAACTCCCGTATCTAGCCGGGCCGGTGGTATGGGCTGTAAACTCAAGTTTTCTCAACTTTTGGGGTTCTTATACGGTAGTCGATTCTGAAAGTTTCAACTTCGATTTTTTTGGGTTTTGGGGCCAGTGAGGCTAAGCTGAGATCTGTTTTCTGATCCCCCAGAGGAGACGACCAAGGCTGTTTTTCGAAACACCTGGGAGACGAAGGGCGTGTTTAGGATCGAAATCCGTGACGGAATCCCAAACGCATAAAGGCCTCAATGCTTTGAGCAGACCCACGGACGCAAAGTGAGACCTCGCTTGAAACCAAACCCACAAAAACCCCTAATTACATGCTAAATTTTAACACCTCAACCCCACACCCTGAAAGTTAAGCCCTAAATAACATGGGGGGCCTTGAACGGTTAGGGCACTGAGGGCTCCTTAAGAAACTTGTACCATAACGTACTCCGCCTCCCTGGGCTCCTTTTAGTAACCCTTTGAGAACCCTTCAAAGGGACTACTTTCAAAGGAGTCGTATTTTACTTCTTAAAGACCCCTGTACTCTAGAGCCCTGATGGTAGCCCATAAGGACCTTGATTATCTAGTGCCCTTATAGAACTAGAGCCCTTGTAGAACCCTTTAAAGAAACCCTTTAAAGGGACCCTTTAAAGGAGCCCTTTACAGGAGCCCTTTAAAGGAGCCCTTTAAAGGAGTCCTTGACAGGGAACCCCATTCTACGTACTCATTAAGGCCTTTCGTCCAAGGCTCCTCCTCGAAGCGCAGGCCGACCCACATGTGCGCTGCGTGGTGCCCGAAGGAGCGAGCTGGGGGTAAGGTTCCTTTAAGGGATCTAGAGGGGTTCCCTTAAGGGATCTATAAGGGATCTATAGGGTTTAGAGGAGTCTAATATCCCTTAATTAAGGAAGATACCTAGGGTTCCTTTAAGGGGTCTATAAGGGATCTACAGAGTTTAGGGGAGTAATATCCCTTAGTTAAGGAATATACCCTAAATCATATAAGGGATCCTACTATAATTTAAGGTATATTCCTTAATTAAGGGATATTGGAGTCTCTGGGGGGGCCTCTTTTTTGGGGCCTTTGGGGAGTTTTTCGAAATAATGGTTTTGGGCGAGCTTCACAAACTAAAAAGACGGGGCCCGAAGACAGAAGCGAAGTAGCCGGATTTTGTCTGGAATTTTTAGTAGAATACGGGAGGCCCAAATCGACCGAGCGCGACTGTCAAAACCACAGACCCAAGCAGGAGCCTGGGGTACTTAGGCGTGCCAGAGGGGTTTAGCTTAGGGTCGAGCCTTGTCGCTTGTATTGTAGCCTCCTGAATCCTTAGGGTTTTAGGGGTTTTATGGGTTTAGGAGTCTAAAAGTTGAATTAGAATTGATTGACTTTTTCAGAAGATAGGATTGCATAGTAGGAACGCTAAATTTTTGAATGGCTTGGAGCACCGGGTTCAAGCAACCCGGAATATGCATCCATTCGGTATTCATAGTAAGCCTGATTTATCGTTGTGCTTCTTGTTGTAACTGCTAGATCCTGCTACTTGTAGTAGTTTCTTCAACTACCCTCATATGATCGTAAGTATGTCGAAGCATCGTACAAGAATAGTAACCCCTGCGATAGTGAACCGTGGTGGTCGTAGCAGTGTTGCTGGTAGTAGTGGTGTTGGTAGTAGTCGTCGTAGTCGCGGTGGTAGTCGTGGTCGTGGTCGTCGTAGACCTGACGCATTCCAGTAGCACACTACATCTCGCCCGGTCAGACAACAAGCTGCAAGGGATCGTAAAACATCATCCTGCCTTCAACCCTAAGCCCGACATTGAAAATCATGGAATCCTAGACCCTAACTAACGCCAAGACCCACCACTGAACTCCTAAACCCTAAACCCTAAAACCTTAAACCCTAAAACCCTAAAACCCTAAACCCTAAAACCCTAAACCCTAAACCTAAACTCCACTATGTGGAGCCTTGCCTGCCTGCGTGCGAGTGTGAGCGTCGAAACCTAAACTCCATGGCTGCCTAGGCAAGGACCCAAAGGAGGCCGACACTGCAAAGGATAAGGCAGCAAAGTTCAAGCACGACGAGGCTTCCCGGCAAAGTTTGGAAGTGGTTTGGGGTATCGGGCCGCAAGATGGTTTCGGATTCCAATCATGTGTCACGTGGGACCATCTGTGTCCTGCAACCGGGCTTGACGTTTCGAATGCCTGGGAGAGAGAGGGCTTGCGGTCGTGGGTCTGGGGCTTCGGGTTGAGACATGTTGAGAGTTTGGTGGACACGGAAAGTGTTGAGACCCTAGGCTTGAGGTTCAGAGGTTGCAGCTTCGGGCTGTCCGCGGCTTGTGTCAAGATTCAGGGGTGGCCCTATTTTTTCGGTATTTTTTTTCCGTTTTTTCTGGTATTTTTTTTCCGGTCTCCTGCCCAAGCAAGCAAGCAAGCAAGCAAGCAAGCAAGCAAGGAAGCAAGGAAGCAAGGAAGCAAGGAAGCAAGCAAGGAAGCAAGCAAGCAAGCAAGCAAGGAGGGCAGCAAGCAAGCAAGCAAGCAAGCAAGGAAGCAAGCAAGCAAGCAAGGAAGCAAGGAAGGAAAGGCAAGCAAGCAAGCAAGCAAGAAAGGAAGCGCGCAAGAAAAGAAGCAAGCAAGGAAGAAAGGAAGCAAAGGCAAGCAAGCAAGCAAGCAAGAAAGGAAGCAAGGAAGGAAGGAAGGAAGCAAAGGCAAGCAAGCAAGCAAGAAAGGAAGCAAGTAAGGAAGGAAGCAAAGGCAAGCAAGCAAGCAAGCAGGCAAGGAAGCGAGGAACCGAGGAAGCGAGGAAGCAAGCACGGAAGCGAGGAAGCCAGCAAGCAAGGAAGGAAGGAAGGAAGCAAAGGCAGGCAAGTAAGCAAGCAAGAATGGAAGCAAGGAAGAAAGGAAGCAAAGGCAAGCAAGCAAGCAAGCAAGCAAAGAAGTTAGCAGGCAAAGAAGGAAGCAAGGAAGGAATCGAGGAAGGAAGCAAGCAACCAAGCTTCGCAGCGCATGCCTGTAGAGCAGAAGCATCAGAAGCCTATCTGTAGACTGTGATATACATATATGTATATATATATATGTATATATTACTTGCATATCGACACATACACACATACACACACACACATACACACGCACACACACACACACACACATACGCATACACACACACATATATATATATATATATATATATATATATATATACACATACTTGCGTACAAATGTATATGTAACAAGTAGCTGAATGTCTATGCGTATATGAGCAAGTCTGCCTACATAACACGATTGGTTTAAAGCTGCGGCGCTTCACCGCCCAATCCCAACTGATAAAAGCACACTATGGATGTATTATGATCTTGTGCATATTTATATTTATTTTTATATTTATATTTATTTATATTTATATTTATGATTTCACAAGGGCCAGCCGCCGGAGGAGCGTTCCGCGTACTCAGTTTGTACTTCAAAAGAGCAGTTTCCAAGCCCGGCCACTGGAAGAGCGTTCCGCGTACTCAGTTTGTACTCCAAAAGAGCAGTATCAAGGCCCCGCCACCGGAAGAGGGTTCCGCGTACTGAGTTTGCACTCCAAGCAAGCAATTTCCAAGTCCGGCCACTGGAAGAGCGTTCCGCGTGCTGAGTTTGTACTCCAAAATGACATTTTCAAGGCCCGGCCACTGGAAGTCTGGAAGAGGGAAGGTTTCAA